TACCACTACCACTACCACTACCACTACCACTACCACTACCACTACCACTACCACTACCACTACCACTACGACGACGACGACTACGACGACGACGCCTACTACTACTACTACTACTACTACTACTACTACTACACCATTGCTACTCCTAGTACTTTAGTGCTACTATAGATTGTACTTTTCGGCAGTGTTGGCACACTCGCAAAGCAAACACCGGCTTCGGCAGATGTACGATCCTTGCAAAATGTTGAAACTGCATCCAAGCATTTGGTAGGTGGGTAACTTCGTGTATGGCACATCTCGACGTGTGGCAACTTGGCTTTACCGCCCAGGGTCTCATCCTCTGGTTCCTGAGCATGGACTTCTTTCAGGCTTAGCACACCTGGTAATAGTTCTGTCAATGGCGCACGTGCCGGCTGGAATCACCCTCATGCATGTTTCACTGTGGTACCGAGGATCAGGCACTGACACTGATACATCCCTGCCATGGTGATTCAGCTGAGGTTTTCACGGTGGACCAGCAAGCCATGCTGGCATTCTACCTCGTGGGGATCGTCTGGTTTCTCAGCTGATATGTTGCAGAGGACATACGTGGGACAGATAGTTCATGTCACTGGGTTGGTATGGGCCGGTATGTGGACAGCCCTTCTCGTTCAGCATCGCAAGCATCCATCTGTGCACAACATCATTCAGTTGTTTTGTCTGCATCTGCCTGGAGAGTCATGCACCTCAGAATGGGCGACCCTAGATAGCCTAGGCATACTAAGTTTCCGGCACGAACCCTCGCTTGCCCTGAGCTGCGATGCGCGAGCCCGACAGGTTTATAGAGTTGAGCAAGAACTTTGCGACTTTCGTGGTCACCTATGCTGTCTTTCTTTGGTACTACACTCCCAAGCCGAAGGGCTGTGGCCCTTCTTTCCCGTTGCTTGGCAGCGGGTGTGTAGATGCTTCTTCTGTGTTGGGTCTTGAGGCTTGGAGTACGGTGCTTCATTCATGCCAGTTCCAGGATTCAGGACGCAGGATGTAGCTTATCAGGAAGGAGCCGTGGAATGGAGACAGACCTCTTATAATGCAAGCAGTTGCTCTCTCTCTCTCTCTCCCTCCATTCTTCCAGGCTTCTGCAGGGCGTCGGGGCGGGCCTCTTCTACCACCTTGGTACCATTGCCCTGGGCTTCCTCGGCTTCGATTGAAAGCCAAGCGGTGTCTAGCTTGTCGCATCAGGGTTGGGTTGCGTGGATGTAAAGACTTCCGTACATGCACAACCGAGGACATGTGCAAGTGTGTCTGCAGGTCGTTGCACACTGCAAAAAAAACTATGGCAAAAGGACAGGCAGATTCCTAGTAAAATCAATAAGCTGGACAGCGAGAGTCTCGCAAGCATTCGCTGCAGCGAAGCAACACCGAACATCATCTCATCCAATTACCCATGCATCCATCCATTAATCCATCTGCCCGCCCATCCATCCAGCTACCCATTCAGCCAGCCCTCCTCCACCCAGAGGGTTGTAGGTTTGAGGCTAACTGGGTCTTAGAATCGAAGAACCGAAAGGGCGAACGAAGCATCAACAATGGCAAGCAAGGAAGGCAATGCCCAGACAAACATACAGCCACACTCACTCCTTCACTCCATCCCACCCCACTCCACTCTGTCGAGTGAACTCCACCCATTGATCGCTCGCTCACTCACTCACTCACTCGAGCATGGCAACTCGTTGCTGCTGGTCTAATCGGGATGCTGAAGATGGGCGTTTCTGAGATGTTCCTTCGTGAATGTGCTCCAGGCTCCTTCCTCATCGCGACGACTCGACCTTTTCGCCTCACCTTCCTCTGGCTGTCGCGCCAAGCGAAGGGCGAAGGACAAGATGTGAAACCTTTAGTGAGACGGCCAGAATCACACGGTGCTCCAAGTCAAGCGAGATTAGTGCACATGAGGTGACGGCAACGAGCCCAGAACTGGTGCATAATAAGACTGTTTCATGGCAAGCTCGGAGGAAATGCCATCGTCGCCGCAGTTGCCTCTTGCTGTGGTGCCTGCATCAGCTTTACACACCGAGACTTGGCCAATTGGTCCAGGAGCTGCGCTAGCCTGATACGGTTGGCTAGCCGCTAGCCATCTTCTTTGTCCCGAAGGGCCGAATTCCTGCAGTGCCGCATGGTGCTTAAACCTCGTTCGCGATGGTGCCCTCCCAGGTTGATTCCTGCTCCTGGACTAGCAGAACTGTCATCATTTGAACCAGAGTCACAGTAATTGCTACTTACCGCGGCTTGCTGAGAAAATCCCTGGCAGCTTTCATTCGATGATCACTGAGCCGTTGCAACTCCGACTCCTGAACCGACTTTTGCATAAGGAGCAAAGACTTAGCACACGTGCATTTAGCAGGCGCAGATGTTCATTTCTTTTTTGTCTGTCTGCCTGCGTTATGTGTATCTGGATGCGGGGCAGTACAGTTCATGTAGCATCTCCGTGCCCACACCGATGCGCCGACGCACCGGGCGGCGCAACGGAGCACGCAAGCACAGACGTACCGTCCATGCTCTGAGTCTTGGGAAGTTTGTGTTCTGATGTTGACATATTGAAATCATGGGCACCCCATCTGTCCAAGGAAATCAATGGCTGCGCCGTCAGTCCAAGTCTTCAACTTCCTAGTCCAACTTGATAAACTTTCTTCTTCTTTTGAAGGGCTTTCAAATAATGGCCAGTGCATTAGTCTCTCCGCTGAGCGCAAGGCGGATAAGAGTTCTGCTGCTCAACCGGTCACGAGAATGACCTGCCGGCGCGTCTGCGGAGACACTGCAGCGTATCTGACAGAGAAATGCTAAGGAAAAGGGTTGTGGCAGCGAAAGCAAACACAACAACATCTGGCAACCTCTCTCTCTCTCTGTCTCTTGTTCTGTTGACCTTGGTCGCTTCTTTCTCTTGTTCTTTACCTACAAGTGACATCTTCCATGCAGGCTGTATGATGCCTACAAACGTCAACCTCATGTGCTATCACTTTGATCAACCTCCCACAAACACTAAATGCACGAAGCTTCGAATCTGAAGACTCGTCCCACCTGGGGCAACATTATGGAAACATGCGTAGGCCAGCCATTTCACAGTTGCCGTGCGGGCCCTTTGGAATGTCCAGGAAATCTGGAGTTCATGACCAAGGCTCGCCGTCGAGTAGACATCTTCTGGGTCCTTAGTGATCCTTAGTGTAGTACTCTAGGTTTGGAGATTAAAAATGAGGTCGAAGGTTGTGGGATGGGTTCGACACATTATGAGGCGAAAGGATGGTGAGACAAGTGACCTTTTCCGGTGGTTCGTAGTCATATGTACGCAGAGACACAACTGACCTTCGGATACATGAGTCTATGCATAGGTGCATACATACAAAGGCCGAACGATGCATTGTTCATGATTAGGGTCATTCTGGCAAGTAGTATCATTATCATCATTATTCCCACTGTCTTCATGGCCATCAAAACATCACGTGATATGCAGGCTGCTTATAGCCTCGTGCTCTCCAAGGCTTTCATGCTTTGGGGCCGAAAAACCTCAATACAGACAGGGCGCCTTCATGGACGTCGTGCTTTCTGGGACACCGTTCATGGTGGCGGCACAGAATCTGGGACCGCCGAAAAGCAAATGTTAATTTGCTCAGGCTTGATTGATGGATCGAGAAAGTGGCTGTAGCTGTCAAGTCTGAGAATTCGGCCGCAGTGTGGCCACATGACTAGTTCGGCTCAGGATTTCACATCACTTGTTTGTAAAGTTCCACCAAAACTATGGTCTTCTCTTGCTATGGAGCCCCATGAGTGCTCCCACAGAAACTTCACCAGTCCCAAGGCCCTAGGAGTAGCAGGCGCAGCTGACCAACAAAAGCATTTGCTCCCATGGCGGCACGCTAGCCTCATGAGTATGCATCTCTTGGCCCTGGCCTTGGACTAAAGTTTTCTTTGAAAGGAATGCGCATGGCTTCGTGTCGGCCGATGTGGGCAGGATCGCGGAACTGACAGGTCTGGACCCCAGACATTTCATTGCAACGATGGGGTCGCATTGTCAGGGAATTGGGATCTTCAGCAGGCTGGCTAGTTGGCGGATGACGACTCCGAAGCTTTGGGTTGCAACGACTCGCGCTGGTTTTGGGATGTCGGGTTCCGAAGACTCAGCAACAACACATCTGGTACTGGTCGGTACTGGTACTCGAAGAAGTATTAATGCTGGTAATAGTGCTAGCAGTAGCAGTAGCAGTA